ATAGATAGATAGATAGATAGATAGATAGATAGATAGATGTATAAGTGGATTGCACGTGCACGTCTCGGGGCAAGCATACTCACCGCTGAGCTTTGTGAGGTGTACCCTGCGTGCATACCTCTTACTAGGTACACGAGTCACCTTGGGGGCGGGCCGGCTCAGCTGCCTGTGGTACTCCTGTGCTTCAGCCTCTGTTCGACCACTGCAGTACACGACAGCACGGTTAAACACACTGTCAGACATGCCTCAAACAATTACTCAGTGCCCACGAATATAAAAATTGTTCAATTTAGGGTTAAACGTGGTGCAACACATGAGAGCAGGGACATGTTACAATACACCGTCAGAAATCCCTCAAACAATCATAATGCTGTAACACATGAGAGCAGGGACATGTTACAATACACCGTCAGAAATCCCTCAAACAATCATAATGCTGTAACACATGAGAGCAGGGTTAAACACACTGTCAAACTGTCAATTTCCAGTTTGTAGAATGCGTATACGATTATACTGTGGGTACTACAAATTGAAAGAAATTGTCTACATACCTTCTCTGAAATTCTGCGCACGGCAGTAGTTCAGTTTTTTTCCAAGCACGCAGCAAAAGCACAAAATATGTGTAATTATATATTACTATCTGGGGAAATAACTGTCATAATTAGAACCTATCGTGAAGTAACGGAGTTTAAAAAAAGGACAACAATTATGATAATTATGTTTTTTTTAAGTAACGTATCAACTTACCTGTATCTATGATTTGATCCGAGTGAAAATAGTTTACCAGGTCCTGCTGGATTATCACGTACCTGCGACAAACTGCAATAAAAACCCCAATGTTAAAATAATATCAGTAATACTGGATGAGAATGCTTATACAGGCAGCAGATATTCAATCATGACGCCTCACACATGACAATGACGGACAGGACAATGACGATCTTTGCTATAGGTCAACATGAAGTTATGTATCTATCACCTTCTACTGAGTGAGATAGACAGGATTCTACTGAAGATCACGTTGTTTAAGTGTGGCCGTAAGTATGAAGTAGATGACACGCGATGCATGTATACTAACCGGAAAAATGCGTGATGCTCTATGGCACACTTCCACAGGTGTTTGCATGCTTCTCGTGTACTACAGTCGAACCCGTATGTATTGTCAGAATTCTAAAATCATACACAAATCACATTACAGCTGCTGCAGCACAGTCACACAAGCTGCACGTGGGGGGGGGGGTTGATTTGATAAAAAACAACAACACTATATTACAAAATGAAATTATCCTTGTATATATGGTGGTACGCAGATTTTCTACTAACCGATTTATAACCATGATGTAACTAACATAATATATAGTTTAATCATACGTACATTCTTATCTCTAACCCGTAAGAAGAACTGTCGATCCCGAAAATTGAGTTTCGTTATGCGGGGCCTGGAAAATGAGATAGTTCAGTCAGTTATCATAGGTTATAATTATATAAAACAGTAGCGATGACAAAACAAATGTTAATTATGAGTTATTAGTTTGTTAATTATTAGTTTGCTAATGTGTATTTAGCAAAAGATTTGTAGTAGGTCTCAGGGGAGAGATAGTGATCCACTAGATGGCGCATTATTAGTATAAATAAGTTGTGGATATAGAAATCAGTTAACCCTAACCCTAACCCTAATCCTTATCCTAACCCTATCCCTAATTCTAAAATAAAACAAAATTAGCCAAAAATAATAAAAAATAAAATAAATAAGAGACAAAATTAGCCAATCAGAGCCGTCCCCTAGCGGATTACTATCTCTCCCCTGTGCAAAATTTTTGTTATAATATTGGGTACAACAGTGGTATGTAATCATAAATAAATACTACGCAACATGAAACTTAGACCTAGTACATTAGTGTTGTAACTATCGTCTTAACCCTTACCAGAAGTAGTTGCCCACTTTGACACCATCCTTTAAGATCACTATTCCAGTAGGCGTCAAACCCAGCATGTACTCAATCTTGTCTTGTCCCTGTGTGAGAATAAACATAGTGCTACCGACAGGAAGAACAGATATTACGAAATCGGTCTGCATATCTCTATACAAAAACTCTCGACAAAACTTTTAGATAAAAACAATATAGCGAGAGACTGATTGAACTAGGACAATATAGGTATTCAAGCAGGCGTTCAGTAGTAAACATAATATAGATACAAGCACTAGCTTTTAGAAGAGGCATTTAGAAGTTAAAAAAAAGATGTATATACTAACAGTAGTTTAATCATTAACCAGACACATATGTACTTAGCTAGTGATGGGTCAGTACGCACCAGCACTGGATGTAAGTCAACCCCATACATCTCCAGCCACTTAGCTTTGTTGAGAAACCGCAGCTCAACTGCAGCAGGCACCAGACCCCTGAAATTACACACAACACCGTACTATACACATGAACACATGTACACGTTCCCAGGAGTGAATGAAAACAAATGTTTTTAAAAAAACAACTTTTTTAATTCACCCCTGATACCACAGTTTTTTGCACTCGACTCACACCAGCTTCCTGTGCACGTCCGATATGCGATTCTCTAGCACCTCCGACTGGTTGGGAACGAAGCGAAACTCTGACGCGTAGCCGGGGGAGTGCCGCTGTTCGTCGTAATCGCCGAGTTCAGCTGTGAAGACAAGCGACGGGTGAGTGATTAGAGGAGTCAGGATCTCCGCTCATACACCCCTGCTGCCGCCCCGTTGTAGACTTACATCGACGTACATGCAGCAGCTTCGTAGAGCAGCTTTGTACATGCTACAGCATTGTAGACTTACATCAAAGTACATTTAGCGCAGAAACTACACGTAAAACGAGCTATAACCTCTAAAGTCAGAACTTTCCACCTCTAAAGTGAACAAAAATGCAAAAAAGCGATCGCAACAGTGCAGTTTTTTAAGCTGATGCGACGGATCGCCATGGCAATGCATCACGCGAGCAAGGGGAGTCAGCGGGAGGACGAGGACCTCACACTTACACTGCAGGGCGTTGGCCCCGAGTTCCGTCGCCTCGTCAAAGTTACATGGCAGTCTTCCCTGAAGGATGTCCTGCTTTAGCTGGAGGTAGAACTGATACCTGTGTGACACAATACAGGTGTGAGTACAGGTGTGAGTACAGGTGTGAGTACAGGTGTGAGTACAGGTGTGAGTACAGGTGTGACACAGGTGTGAGTACAGGTGTGAGTACAGGTGTGAGTGCAGGTGTGAGTACAGGTGATTACACGCGCAAATCTACAATAAGAACTGATGCTTGGGTGACATCGGCGAAAGTGTGAGTCAGTTTACACACACAAATATATTTGTATGAGAAGTGACGACGGGTGATGACTCATTCAGGTGATTCTCTATCAACATCAACATCAGCAGCGATAACACTAAATGTCATCAGTACGCTCCAGCAGTGTGGATATGCTGGGAATAGCACATCATGGATCTTCTACGGTCAAATCAGCGTTTGATATTAGCTGGGCCTTGCTAATTTACTTGTCAATACCATAGTCAACACGAACGCCAACCTACAGAATAACATTATATAGAATACCTACATCCAGAACGCCTAAACCTATATACCTTTATAGGCAGAAGCGATGTACTAAGCACTAATAGTTCAGCGATGTTGATTATTTCTCTCGAATTATTTTACTTTCGCGTCTTGGGAATAAGAGGTAATATTATCTGTTTTTGGGCACAAGGCACGTATATTTACGTTCAGTTGTTTGGAACAATTGAGCGTGTGAAACATGTTTCAAGACACTTCCTGATCATTATTTTTGCTCCTACCTTGTAATTTCCTCAAACAACTTGCTAGGGTCCGCAGCATAAAACTTCACACCAAAGTAAAACACGTAAGGTGGTCGACCTGCATTCATAGAACAGACTCAATCAATTTTGTGACCAATGCAGTTTAAAAAACTTCTTTATAGTTCCCGCGAAGTTCAACATGAACTTTAGTAAACATTTCATATAGTTTTAACATCAACACAAAGACAATTTATAATCATCTTTTCATTTGTTTCTTTACGAATCAAACCATGGAACCCAGTAAAATAAACTACTACCACTTTAAAAACCTGACAGTAACAATAAACATTAAATAAGGGTAGAGAGCATCATGCATATCATAACTTACACCTTAAAACTATTCAATACTTACATTGCATTTGCTCAAACACCCGTTTTTCTGGATCCAGCCAGTTCTGTGGGAATATAAATAAAAACATTGTAACAAAGATGAATACAACTCTACTGTTCCATGTCTATTATTAATGGCATTAACCTACTAAAAATTACCTGATCATTTTTTATGGAGTTACCCAAATAAATTGCACGTGCAGAGCTTATCTCGAGCATTAAACTAAAAATATTTCATAAGTAGATCAGATATTGTCAGCTAACCAAGTTAATTATGAACACATGCAGCAATCACACTAACTCACAGTTTGATTAGAGTGGTCAAGAAATCGTAGGCCAAAGTAGTCTTTCTCTAGCAAATTTAAGTGCTGATATATCCGATCCAACAACAACTGGCCCTTGGTAGTCGGCTAGAATGAAGAAATCCTTATTATCGTTAGACACTACCATACAGCTACAGTACCACAGATACAACAACACTATCAATTAATAAGACTCAGTGTCTACTATATATGCATTAATTCACCCACAACTATATGAGGATGTACACAGCCAAGCGCATGTATTTTTATGTGTAAATGTGTCACTTTTTTTCTACTAAGCTCATCTTCAAAGATGCCCATGAAACAGCTATATAGACAGACTTTCTAACAGAACATTTCTAGTGACTAATCACTTAGAACTGCACAAATGCTATCTATATCTACAAATAACAATCACTTGGATGCTATCGCCAGAAAACGTAAACAAACGACATTTGTATATTTGCTAATGCGACACCATCTGCTGCAAGGACGGATGTACGTAAACACACAACATAGACGCTGAAAATTCGTCATCCCTGCATTCAACAACAAACGTGTTTAACACATGCAAACATAGAGCCTAGCTACAGTATTTACAAGGTGCACAATATTCATATCGATTATCAGTTTGTTTGAGTTGGATCTATAGGGGCAGGAAGCACATGTCCCTGTTGTTGCCATCTCGTTACATTCGGCATGTTACATTAGGGTTAGGGTTAGGTTTACAGTTAGGAATATGGTTAGGGTTAGGGTTATGATTGGGATTGGGAGTTTGAATAGGATTAGGGTTATGGCGAGTGTCAGGGTCAGAGTCAGCGTCAATGTCAGGCTTATGGTTAGGGTTAGGGATATGGTAAGGTTTAGGGTTAGGATCAGAGTCAGTTTCAGCCTTGGGGTTAGGGTTAAGGTTAGTGTTCGGGTTATGGTTAGGATTAGGGTTAGGGTTAGGGTTAGAGTTAGGGTAAATATTATCAGGAGTGAATAATAGAGATCTATTATTTACTCCTGATATTATGGTTAAGGTTATGATTGGGGTTAGGGTCAAGGTCAGGGTTAGGGATAATATTAGGGTTCAGATACCTGTATGTCAATTTTAAGGTCGGTTTCATCGAGGAGGACGACCTGACAAGGGATGTCCGGGTCATGTGAGTCGTCTGCTCCGCAGCAGCCCATCGTTGCTACGACGCTCAACCGTTGCTACGTTGCTCGGCCGTTGCTACGACGCTCGACCGTTGCTACGACGCTCGACCGTTGCTACGACGCTCGACCGTTGCTACGACGCTCGACCGTTGCTACAACGCTCGTCTGTGCAACATTCACCAGCCGCCTGCCAGCCGATGATGACAGACGCGTCTGCTATCCTCCGCTGTCGACGACTACCTATAGAGACACGCACACGTGTCGTGACGAGGAAAAGCGATTAGCGATTTCAACCACTTTTATGAGGCGCGATGATGCGCGCACCATGGCACAATTTCGGGTGCGCGGTGGAGCGCGAGCGCGATCGCGCCCCTTAAAAATGAAAGCCTGCTACTCCCTAACCCTAATCTTAACCCTAACCATATCAAATAGTGACCAGGGTACGTTCTGGTATACTATACCGGACCGTACCCAGGGTACGTTCCGGCAGTACCCATAGACCCTATGTCTATGACTATGACTATGAGCGCCAGTGGCAGTGCACAGTCACCGAGTCAGTGCCAGCACTGATCAGTGATCGCACATAAGCCCTTCACAATTCCGTCCGGATTCTATTTAACGTATATAGTAACTTGGTTGCTAATTGCAGCGTATTTAACCCCAGTTAAGATCGTAGAATAGATCGTCTTACCGTAACTCCGTTGAATGAACCATCCAAACAAGAAAAGCTCACAAACAAAGTTGGAAACCGGATGCGGCTGCCGCGACGCCACACAACCATTATAGGTGGCGCCTACTACATCCTCTTTGAATAAGCAATCACAGAAATCATGGTTTGTGAAATATTTCTGTCTTATATCGGGTCTAATCTGCGTTGTAATGAAATTATCAACCACATACATAACATATCTTGAAAGGGAAAAACATCTTGTTAACAAAAATTGCTATATATTTATAGCTTATCGTTTTAAAATGTGCCGCAACGTATTTTCTGTAAGGTACAATCTAATGAAAACAATGTTACGTATGTATGTTTACAGTGATATTTTCTATTTCGCAACTGTTCTTATTAATGTATTATGAGTTGGAGCAGGACGTTCACCCAACCCGTATTACCTGCTAATGCTTGAGCACCCACGTCAGAAAACAACAGAATTCTCACGTTTGCATAGACTTACCATTTCGCATTTTGTATCTTCACTTTTTAGGCAGACGCCCCAGTCGAAGTAAAGAAGAAGCGTACTTTCAGGAAGTTCACCTTCAGAGGTGTTGATCTGGACCAGCTCTTGGACATGTCCAGGTACTTAATCTATTGCGTTTGCCAGTGCAGCTAGTATATAGCATTTCTAAATGTATCTGACATAAGTTATCTGCCCATCATCTTGTTTTGTGCTTGAATGTTGCTCGTGCTTTGTAGATTATGGTTGGGTTTAGGGTTCCAATGCAATTCATCAACTTGTCATGTACTGCTTTCAGACCATGGATAGTTTGGGACCCCGCAAATGTGTTTTCGCATGTGCTAAACTAGGCTTGGGCCCTGCTTTCCCCATTCTACACAGCCGCTGTCCGAACAATAATTATTAGATTGTTAGTTGCGCGACCGTGATGTTTGTGAGTCTAACTCGGATGTTTAATGTCTACACATACAGTCTAACTAGTAGCAAGGACCGTAATGTAAATAAGTGTGCTAGTCATGTACTTTTTGTGTATATATCCTTGGTAGTTATCTCATTTCATGAATTAAAAATATATTGTAACATTATGTACATATGGATAATTAACAAAATAAATAAATGACTCGTGGTCGTGTTTGCAGTGAGCAGCTGATGGACATGTTCCACGCACGCGCCAGGCGCCGATTCTCCCGCGGTCTGAAGAGAAAGCCGATGGCTCTCATTAAGAAGCTGAGAAAGGCCAAGAAAGAGGCTCCCGCACTCGAGAAGCCAGAGACCGTGAAGACGCATCTGCGTGACATGATCATCGTGCCGGAGATGGTTGGCAGCATGGTCGGGGTGTACAACGGGAAGGTTTTCAACACGGTCGAAATCAAGGTATGAAACTGAACCTGAACACGAGCTGTTAAACATACACTGAAATCAAGGGGTGCGTTTGTTTGGGCAGATCATATGATCCGGTCACAAATTCCTGAACCTGCTTGCGAGGTGGATTCGCAGGAGATGCAATATGGCACCGTGCGATCCAGCCAATCGGTGCTTGTTGTTTGTTATGAACCATCCTGTGATAGGTCAGCGAAACATGAACTGTTGGAATTGAGGTTTGTTTGACCAGATCAGTATGACTAAACCTAAACACGAATAGTTATATGTTCTTCATCGTTGGAATTACTAGTATAAAGCTAGCTCGTCTAGTCACATGGTCACAGCTCGTAAATCATACGAAAGATGTTCTGTATTCGGTAACCTATTAATTGCATGTATCAATAGGAGGACCATTGTTGAAAGTATAGATTTGTAGCATTTATGCAGTAGTTTACACATGTCAGATAAGTAATTTTACAATTGGTATTGTTTTCATATTCATTCAACATCCTGAAATGCATTTTTTTAAACACTGTAATTATATCTATTCTCGTGGGAGTTCCTAATTTGCAAATATATAGTTGGAATCAAACTGAAATGTGCATTTAAAGCGCAAACAATTATTGAGCCAAATAATGTGTACACATTGTTCTTGATGTCAGAGATGTGATTCTATCCATTTGTTCTTTATTCAGCCCGAGATGATTGGCCATTACCTGGGAGAATTTAGCATCACCTACAAGCCGGTTAAGCACGGCCGACCTGGCATTGGAGCCACCCACTCCTCGCGCTTCATTCCGCTGAAGTAAATGTACATTTGACTTGTCTTAACCAAAAAATGTGAACAAAACATGGAGACTTCTGCATTTATTCTTTGTTGTTGTGTACATCTCACGCTATTTTCGTAGTATAAACGGCACTGATTAAAACAAGTGCCGCAGAGCGACAGCGCTCAACGGAAGTGTACTGTAGCCGGGTATTCTTCTGATAAACTCACTGGTAACCATCACCGGTCCTTTGTTAACAGTCAACAAATCCATGTTTAACCCTCCGCTTGAGGGTCAAAAGGTTATCAGACACTTACTCTTCGCACGTCAGCAGAAAGTACATTTCATGGTCCTTTCAATAAAGTGGTAGAAATGGTAGGTCAGCGCTGAAACAAAAAAGTTTTGCACTCGGTCCGTTAGACCATGTCCTCAGAAAATGTCTGATATCTGACCTTTCCCACACTGCCCTTTGACCTGTGACCTCCAATTTCGCACTGGTGATGGGTTTCCTCCCCATTACACTACACATCGAATATTACGAGAGTAGGTCGAGCCGTTGAGATTTGTGCCGCAATTCCGTATTTCCTCCTATACCTTAAGTTAAGGGGGAAATATTCCCCCTCCATTGACACAAATTCACCTTTGACCCGCAAATTCGACATCCCGAGTACTTTTCGCGGACCCCCCCCCCCCCGACGTCCGCGAATATCAAGACCGTACGTGGAGCGCGTTAAGATTTGTGCCGTAAATGTTGACACACGGAACGGGACGGACGGACCATGCTATTCTACAAGTTGCATCTGACTTCGTCAGCTGAGCTAAAAAGCAAAAAAAAAAAAAAAGCTAAAGGCAAAAGTTCCTCAATATACATGTATATTTTTATGACTTGTTTATTACAATGTACAGAGTTTAATTTTGCTTGCATATGAAATTTTGGAACAGGGGGCCCTGAACGAAGTACATCCTCTAATGTCATGACGATACGTCAAATTAGTTTCGAACCACTGACAACTTTATCAGTTACAAATGCATGATTATGTACAAAGCTGTGTGAATACTTTGCAATGGAATTATACACTTATAGAGCGTGACAGACAGTGGTCAACTTCATGTTAAATCTGTCTCATGGCCACAAGATGTGATGTGATATATGAAATTATGAATGGACTATCTTTAAATAGTCATTTTGGATGATGCCTACAAAAAGTACATTACGCACACAACCATCACAACATTTATATACCGACGATGGCCGACATAATTATCCAAGCAGAGAAAGGACTGTCTACTGAGGGTCTGTTGGTGACAGGTATGTTCAAGTACCATGGAACCAAAAAGCAAGTAACATCTGCAGATCCTATTATAATGTATAGAGCAACTACTGTAGGCTTTTTACTATGCAGATATGCGTGTAAGATATGCAGATATGATGTAAGATATGCGTGTACGTTACTGTCACATTAATATCTATATAACCTATCATGGTGCATACTGTTCGTCCTAAATATTGTCAATGTCGTGGTCCCAGCTAATTTGCGATATACAGATGATACACATACTAAAGAGTACAACAAGAGATTACACTTACAACTTTTGTTAACATCAGACAGAACAGCACGAGATAAGCCAAGTTCAGATCAGTGGTCACAGCTTAGTATGGTCAAAACCAGCTGAGTGTAGCTAGTACCGAGTTAGCTAGCTGGAGTCGGCACAGAATAGCCCCTGCTTAACTCATCTGCAGCTCCCACCACCTAATTTATTATCGCTTACCAATTTTAGAAGCACACGCTTCAGAGCGAATATTCAAGTAATAAAGTTGAAATGCTCAAAACTGGGATGAACGGTATTTTTAAAAGCTACATGACACAAGCTTTTCGTGCGTTCGTGACCTTGCAGGACAACTACAGCTGTGAGACGCGCGCTGTCAATGTCACCCATTTGCTCTTTTAGACTGTTCCAGTGCTCTGGATTCAAAGAGATCCCTGAAAGAAAATTTTGCGATAAACATCCATCCGCATATAAAACTTGATCTGATCTTTCCGTTTGCTTTTTTATTGATTCTTCCGGAGTGTGATATCGTAAATGGTCCTGCACAGTAATCATTCAGATTCGATGAGTTGCGGAATTTAAAACGTAATTTTAGCAAGTGTTCCATGACAGAAATTAATTGCATTCTACCAAGACAAACATAGAGTAAACCTTACATCTTGAAGGTGGCATATGTCCCTGTTAGCACTTACAACTCGTGGACTAAAAAGTTGTGTATGTGTTCATTTATTACTTTTTCCTGGCTTTTGCTCTCGTCAGAATTCATGTAGTACTCCGGATGTCAACCAGCGTCTTACCCTTGAATTCGCACTGTCACAAACCTGTTCTTTGCCAACTGGAATCATGAAAATTTTGGGTTTGGTGTTAAAAGTTGGGCATCCCCTTTGGCACTTGACCCAACGTGCTCTACTAGCAATGTGCTTGGCCATCTACTAGTGGATTGTTTAAACAGGGGGGAAGATGAGGAAAAACTGTCTTTTATAAGGTCGTGTTCTGCTTGGTGGAAATGGATCAAAATATGTCGGTTAATCTACGAAGCAAGTCTTCTGATACAGTATTAGTGAAACACTAGAAACAACTAACCTGGTTTAGAAATAACTGGAACAATATTCTAACAAGTGGAACTGGCTGAATAAATGTAAAACAACTTTAATATGGTACCAGGGTGCAAAATTAACGCGAGTCCAGAGTTAAATACTCCCTGATTTACTGTCAGACTCCCTGATTTGACATATGCAGGAGTCGTGTGACTCCCTGATAATTCTGTTATACTAACTAGTAGTAATTCGTTCCGGAGCACGGCCTCACGGAATTACCGTATTTGTTAGCAAATGTCCAAAGAAAATTTGGCAGGTGCATCGCATAAATCTTCAAAATAAGCACATGCATTATTGTTGTTACACTTTGGTTTAGAACGCTTAGACTGCGGACTCCTCATTTTGCTATGGACTCCCTCTTTTGAGGCCAGGGAGTCCGTTGGACTCCTTTGTTCAAAGTTAATTTCTACCCCTGTGGTACCGTGCAAAAAGGTGAATGAGACATTGAAATTACCAATTTACCAAAAACATAGCGTCACCATCATCACTCTTCATTGCCTTTTTCTTCCCCTTGTCTTGATGTTTCTTTGTGACAGGAGTTGACTGTTAACACACAACAAGAACAATATTATCTATACCATTAAACCAGGGGCGTAAATCCGTACGAGGAGTGGGAGGGGGGATGATCGGCGATAGCCGGGGCGAATTAACCTTGGCTGTCGCAGGTAGGCCGCGTGCCGTAGGCATGCGATGTTGAAATATTTAAGCCATTTTCCTGCAATCTGAGGCATACTGTCATATGCCTCATTGTCATGAGGCATATTCTCATGTCTGATAACACTATCTCAACCCTAGACTCAATCCTACAAGTTAGGATTCAAAACACTTTTCATTACTTTCAGAGAGCGTACACAGTTAGGTTACTATAGTAATAATACATGGTATTAAAACACAGGTAAGATTGCAATTTCTCACAATTTCACGTGTTTTTGTATGTTTGCAACCATACCTTTTGGCTTATTTTTTTTCTCTTTTTTTTAAATCTCAGGGGGATGTTCGTACAGGCCATCCGCCCTCTTCAAGAGCGGGGGGGGGATGGGTGGGCACCCTCCCCTCGGGATTTACGCCCCTGCATTAAACAATGTATTTAACCAGTGTGAGTCCAACTATAAACTACTAATCCTATCACATACATATATCATGATATCATATGTGATTATGTTCATATATGAATTACGTTTTTTGTGATAAATAATATATATATCACTCGCCATCGGCCAACTAACTGAAACCAGGCAAAGGCTTTACCAAGGTTGTTAAAATGACAAACAAATTTGTGAGGACTAGTAAATTTCGGCGAGGTCTAGACGCATCTGTAGTAGTTGTCAGTTAAATGCTCGCTGGTCAGAAACATGAATTTTGGCGCCGTGTACACCAACTCGCACAGACTGCATCTGAACGATCGCTTTTTGATTGGCAGCAATCTTAAATGAAAGTGTCAATGACACTGTAGCTCACCTTGGGTGTGATAGAAGAGGGAGGGGGATATATAAAGCAAGATTTCAGAGATATCTCTGGCAGGAGTAGGTAAGAACAAAGGCCAGAGTTATAATTCGAACAAGTTAACATTTAGAGTAGAACATAGATACCAAGATGGAAGCTGTGGATGTGTATTCGTTGCTGTGAAGGTGTGATGAAGCGAGCGTCGAGCGAAATTTTGCGATCACGCTTTCCTCCCTGGCTCTCTTATTAATTCTCATGTTGTTTGTCTTCTGTCAAGATAGAAGCGAGCAGAGTGACAACAAAGACACTGACTTATGCCAAGCGAATCATTTATGTTAACTAATCAGCCATGATGATTTACGCGGGCTTGTACATGCGCATAAGTCTCTATGCTGTAGCTCAGTACAAACATAGCGGAAGCACCCCGTTCATAGAGGGCGACAGCTGCACAGTACCAACATCACAGTTTGTGCAACAGGGCGAGCGTGCCGGCGCGTCGGTGTACTTGTGTATTGCAGATGAGCATCTTGAACGGCATTTACAGCAAGTTATCGGCAATAATAGGGCGAAATAGAGTAGAGAAACATTAAGACTTTGGTAGAGTATACATTTTGTGTTTACTTTTTTTTTTGAGACGTTCAAGGCCTCACTTGCTGTGATGGCAATAGCTCATCTTGACGATGTCAAGGCGAGCTAAAAACCAGACGCAGAATGAAATGCTTACGTCATCAGGTCCTCGAATCGGAGTCCGCTGCTTGAAGCCACATTGTTCTTTTCTCTTTGGCATCGCCGGCTTTGTATTCAGTGCAATCTTACCTCGAGTGCTTCTTTCCCTGCCACCGATACATAATCAGTCTACCATGTCAAAATGAAACGGCCATAAATTGTATATTAAAAATAACCAACAATCCATCACCTATTCATTAGGGGTGAGTATTGCATACCAAAACGCGTATGCAATATATTGCCAATACGACAAAACCGTATTGCAATATTTTCCAATACGTATTGGAAGTGTATACCATGCATGATATAGTAACAATTTGATGGTTTTAATATCATCATATCTTGTATTATATGACATGTTTAATTTCTTCTATGTTTTTCTGAGAAACAGAAGCCCGGCAATGTTTTCCGCTGACAGTGCAGCCCTCTGTGCC